GGAGACCCGGCCACACATTCAAATTTGATGAGGCCGAAATTCTCGCAAGAGGTCACAGTGGAGTGTGCCGAGAATTACTTGAGTCATGGTTCACGGGCCCCCAATCCATCAGCAAGTGCAGTGATTTGCCCAATCCATATTCGGTGCTGAGACTAAATTTGGCCAAAGCAAGTCGCCGCTTGGGGAACACACAAGCCACCGAATCATCCTATGCCAACACCGCACGACCAGATGGTCATTGTGTAAATTTTACGGCAGACTCCTGTGCACAAACTACCTGCATCTGCCGCTGTTCTGTGATTATGTCTCTGATGATGAATCCGCAACGGATGTCGAAACGTCAGGCGAATAAACATATTGTCCCAGCGATCGAGTCGTCTTCTTCTCAATAAAACTGAATCATGTGATGCTAAGGTTCTTCCTGACGCATTTAGTCATGTGTTTGTGTCTGAGCATAAACCATCTCCCGAATTACGTTCATTTTGCGTAACAGGTAAAAAAATTGGAAGTCTTGTTTTTCACAGTACATGTCCTTCATGTTACATTTATATTTTACACTGATGAAAGTAAAATATATGACGGAGTCTGAGAAAATTGGGAAAAATATAGAGGCTTTCAATTGTCCGTAGCATTTGTAGCGTTCAGTATACTCTATGACAAGCACATCTCACTTTTCTATTTGTTCTGTCAACATTTTAGTTCATATAACGTCGGGAACCTCACAGACGACCTCAAATATATATACAGAACAGCCGGACAAAAGGGTCAGGGCATCACCTTCATCTTCACCGACAATGAAGTCAAGGACGAGGCATTCCTTGAATTCCTGAACAATATGTTGAGTTCAGGCGAAATTGCTAACCTTTTCGCCCGTGAGGAGATTGACGAAATCCTTCAAGAGCTGGTCATACCAATGAAGAAGGAGATGCCTCGTGTACCGCCGACTAACGAGAATCTCTACGATTTCTACTTGAGTAGAGTGGCGAAGAATATGCATGTGGCGCTCTGCTTCTCGCCAGTCGGTCAAAAGTTTCGGGATCGAAGTCTCAAATTCCCGGGTTTGATATCTGGTTGTACAGTTGACTGGTTCCAGCGTTGGCCGAAGGAGGCCTTAACGGCGGTGTCAGATTACTTCCTCTCTAGTTTCGATATTGTCTGCACCGACCTCGTCAAAAAGGCTGTCGTAAACACGATGGGCAGTTTTCAGGTAATACAAATAAACATATCTGGTTACTTAATTATAAGCAGTAGGCTATTTTGTCTATTGTAACTAACGCCATCTTTTTACCC